TATGCAGTGTGTTAATTATTGAAACTGTCCTACCAATTTGATTTGAAACTGTCTCATTGCTATTTGTTTATCAATAAAATTATGGCAAAAAATAAAATAAAATAACATGAATTTATGAAGAAAAAAAAAACAATTGCGAGCTTCTCAATCTCTTATTGGAATAAGGAATAAACCTGGCTGGCTGTTGCGTTCTCACACTCTTGAGTTCTCTGAGCTTGGCCCATAACCCCAAGCTGCCCACTTGCTATTTTTCCTCTGGCTCTCCTTCAGAGTGTCTTCACCCAATTGTAAAGCTGGGGCTTTTGTGTTCCTATTACTGAATTTTGAGAATTATTTATGTATTCTAGACAAATGTCCTTATTATATGTGTTTTATGAGTATTTTCTCTGCAAATCAGATCGTGTTCTTATTATCCTAAGCACACCCTTTGAAGAGGAGATATTTTTTTACCTTTGATGAAATCCAAGTTATCCATTTCTTACTTCTTGGGACAGGAGTTTTGAGTCATATTCAGAAACTTTTTCGCTTATGAAAAAGTTTTTTTTTTTTCCCTACGTGTTCTCCTAGAAGGACAATACTGTCATACTTCATGTTGAGGTTTGGCATTCTTCTCAAACTAGTTTTATATATGATGTAAAGTATGAGTCAAATTCTTAAAAAGTCTTAAACAGCATCATCAGTTAAAAAACCCATCCTTTTGCAATAATTGCACTTTTGTCAAAGATTAGTTTACCTTAGATGTGTGAGTCAATAGATGACTGTGGTCTATTCTGTTGGTCCTTTTGCCGGTCTTTATGTCAATATTTGATAACTGTCACTTTACAACATGTTAGCGATGCTTTTGAAAATGATGCTGTACTCTTTAGTTTATATTTCTAATTTCTTCAATTTTTTTTTCTGTATTATTTTAGGGAAGGGTCGACAGGGTGTTCAGGGTCACACCACTAGATTGGACTTATAGTGATCCACCCGTTTACAGCCTCCCAAGTGCTGGGATTACAGGCACGTGCCACCACGCCTAGTCTCAATTGCTGTCTCAGCGTGCCCTAGGGGAAAGGCTAGCATGGCAGGCCTGGGGATTGAACCCCCGCCCCCTGTGCCTGCTTGAGCTATTTGGCAGGTGCTTCTTCAACTTTTCAATGTCTGAAAAATCCTTATTTTGGCTTTGTTATTGAAATAAGTTTTTTTTTCTCTAAGCTAGAAATTCTAGGTTGATTTTTTTCCCTTGTATTTTAAAGATCTTCCATGTTCTTGCTCATATTGCTTCTGCAGAAAGCCCGCATGACCATTACCTTTCCCCCTCCAAATACAACATATCTTTTAGCTTTGACTACTTTAAATTTTTTCTTTATTACTTTTTTTTTTTAGCCCTTTGGTTATGATGCACCTCGGTGTAGTGTACCTCATTCTTCTTGAGCTTTGAGTTTTGTACACATTCTTGAATCTATAGATTTATAATTTTGAGCAAATATGGGGAAAGGTTAATAACATCTATCTCCCCTCTACTCTCAGACCTTAGGCATCCCACAAATTACTCATGTTCTCATTTGACTATGTTTTCCTTTTGTGCCTCCTTCTGCACTATGTTTATGGTTACTTGTATATTAATTCGTCTTTCCTTCTCTTATGTCCAATCTCTCCTTAACTCTGTCTAGCGCATCTTTCATCTCAGGACCTATGCAGAAGCATGGATAAGAGCATCTCCAGAAGTTCAGCTTGGCAGGGTCTACAGGGTCTCACTACACAGGTCAAACTCCTAGTGATCCTCCTGTTTGCAGCATCCCAAGTGCTGGGATTACAGGTGCTGAGACAATCTCAGTTGCTGTCTCTGCATGCTATACGGGTGAGGCCAGCACGGCAGGTCAGGGATCCAACCCAGGTCCCTGAGTCTGCCTAAGCAAGTGCTTTAATCTGCTGAGCTATCTGGTTAGCCTTTCAGTCAGTTTTAATTATTATTCTCCTTATTATGGGTTATGTTTTCCTGCTTTTTTCATGTCTGTTAATTTATGTTTGGAGCCAGACATTATGCAACCCATAATGATGGGTACTAAATATTATGTTATCCTATAAATACTTTTGGGTTTTGTTCAGGGATATAGTTAAATTGTGTCAAAACAGTTGGATCCTTTGAGGTTTACCATCATTGTTAGAAGGAATCATAGTGGTGACCTCTATGAGCCTAAGTTCTCACTAGTGAGGAAAAGCACTAAGAAGTATGCAACCTAATGCCCCATGCACCATTCCTCAATCTGTCTTATTGGAATAAGCAATAAACCTAGCTCATAGTGAGTACTTACATGAGTTCTCTAACTGTGACCAATGACCACACTCTCCCCACTGGCCTTTGTTCACACACCAACTCTGATTAATGTGGGCTGGGTACTTGAGGGGTACTCTGCAGATAACTGGTGTCTCTGTATACCTTGTCTCCCTTACGACACCCTGTACTGTGAACCACACTGGTCCTACTATCTCCTGTTGTTTCCTTCCCCCTACTCAGCATTCCTGCTGGGCTTCGCCTGAGTCTTTCTTGTGGTGCTGAACCCTGGGCTCACCCCTCCTAGGCTTTTCCTTGTCTGATATGCACTGTTTTGACATCATTGCTTTATATATTGTGTTTAGTTTTCAGGCTAAGCAGAGCGTCTGGTGCTTCCTGCCACGTGTGTGTGGATGTGGACTCCCAGGGCAATCTTACATTGGCTGCTGGTTTCACTGTGTCCCTGAATTACACTGACTTCTTAAACATTGAACATTCTTTGTTTCAGGGGTAAATTCTCCACTTATGATGCTGTGTTTCTACAGATTGATGGGTTGGATTTGTTGATATTTTTAGGGTCTCTGTGCTTAGGCTTATGAGACCATTGGTTTTTTTTTTTTGTAATATCTTTATGTAACTTTGTGTCAAGATAATTCTGACCTCATAATGAAACATAAAGTATTTGCAGATATCTTCAGGAAGAATTGATAGAGAATTGATATTATTTCTTGATTACCCATTTGGTAAAAATTACCAGTGAAGCTATGTGGATCTAGAGGTTTTCTTTGCTGCAAAGAATTAGACTAAATATTCTTAAAATACATGGAATATTTACTTTATTTCTTCCTGCTTAAGTGAATATTATCACTTTGTATTCTTTAGTTAAGTTGTCCACTTTATCCAAATGACCGAATTTATAAGCATGCTACATTTTACAATGTCTCTGCATGGTGTAGTTAGAAGAGTGAGGCCGAGGAAATCTCTCTCCTCCAGCTATTTGAGTTTGGTCAGCACCCCACTGTCCTGAGAGGTAAAGTTTAACATAACAAGAGCAAGAGTGTATGACATAGGTGAGTGCACATTGACACTGGAGTTTCTGGCTTGATCTTCAGGCACATTGCCCTTTTTCCCCCCAACTATTTAAATTATGTTGCTTAATTTTAAAGTATTTGAGGTGTTTCCAGATGCTCTTCTGTAATTGATTTCTAGTTTGATTCTTTTATATTCAAAGCACAATTTTCAATTTAAGTTTGTTTTTCATGGTTCATAGATTATGTTATTGATGAATGTTTGAAGTATACTTTTTTTTGTATTTTAGGGAAGGATCTACAGGGTGTTCAGGGTCTCACTACTAGATTGGACTCATAGTGATCCTCCTGTGTACAGCCCCCTGAGAGCTGGGATTACAGACAGGAGCCACCACGTCCAGTCTCAATTGCCCTCTCAGCATGCTCTGGGGGCAGGGCCAGCACAGCAGGCCCCAGAGCCTGCTTGCAGGGGCTTTAATTCACTGAGCTATTTGATTTGGCCGGCCCTTGAAGTGTACTTGAAGACTGTTATAATCCTGTTGAATGAAGTATACTTCACCCATGAATGTACCCATTCACTCTATTGATTATTCAGAGGAGAATTTTAAGATCTCTATCACTAGTTGTGTATTTCTTTATTTCTGCTTGCTGTTCTATCTGCTTTTGCTTTATGTATTCTGAAGGCCTGTTGTTAGGCACATATGCATCTGAGATGGCTGTGTCTCCATGGGGAATTGGCAATATTGGTGATTGAAATTATCTTTGTTTGATGTTATTACAACCACATGATTTTCTCTAGATTAGTGTTTTCATAGTCCTCTGAACTCTGCAAGACCTCCAAAACTAACTAGTTTCCACCTGTCTCTCTAGGGAAGATGTGTAGAAGGGAGAGAAGATGCATAAACAAACAAATGCAAGTTGCTGAGAGATTTGAAAGCAGAATGCAGAATCTGTGGGTTAGCCATTGTTTTTCAATTTCTGGTTAGTTGAATGGAAAGTCCTGGGCTAATCTAGAAATTGACAAAAACCATTCTCTTGGTTAATATTTTCTTTCCATTGGCAAACTTGCTTGATTCAGGACTCCTTATTACCGTGCTTTATCCGAGACAAAGCCCACTTGTCTCTAGATTTCTTTCTGCTTGCCTCACAAACCACTACTCTACAAGTTTCTTTCCTCCTGCTTGAGAAAGCAGCAGCAAGCCCAGTGACACTGCGATAGCTCCTTGGAGCTGTCAATAGAACTTTATCACCAGCAGGAGGCTTTCATATTCCGTGATTGAAGACATCAAAAATTCTTTGTATTATACTATGATATTTTAGGTTTCTAATATTTTTCTGTTTGGGTTCTTTTTCTTTAGAAAAGTACCAACATTTGTATGTACTCAGAAGAACCTTGCTGAATATGAAAACTTGGGAACTGGGAGGAAGACAGGACTTACCAAAGATATAGAAGGCAAAAGGCCACCCAAGGGCTTGACAGATGATGCCTCCAAAGAGGATGGCAGCGAAAATTCCCAGTATCATTCCTGCAGAGACAGAGTAGGTTGTGAGGCTCTCTACCCCTCCCAACGTGCATGTACAGACTGGTAGATACATGTGGAGTAGCATCATCAGACCAGATGATGAGGAGAGGAGCACATTGAAATATAAAGGCTTCAGGTTCATCAGTTAGCTCAAATAATTTCCGAAAACCCATTTCTTTCTGGTCAGTTCCCTAATAATATTACAGATGACTTTCTTTCTACCTTTCTACCTTTCTACCTTTCTACCTTTCTACCTTTCTATCTTTCTACCTTTCTACCTTTCTATCTTTCTACCTTCCTTTTTTTTTTTTTTTTGGCGAAACTGGGGATTGAACTCAGGTCCTTGTGCTTGCCAGGCAAGCTCTTATTCTACCTAGCCATCTCCTTGGCCCCGTATTGTAGATGACTTTCAAACTTTCTTTTATGCTATTTTAAGTTTTAATTGCATGTGTCATATATGCTTATTGTAAAAGCAAACTACTAAGAAAGGCTGTTTCTCTCACATGTCTTCTAAATCCATCTCTACTTTCCTTTCTGAAGATAACCACTAGTAACATGGCATAATTTATAATTGCAGCATATAAGTGCTTACCTTGTTCTCTCTGCACACATACACAATATACATCTACACATACACTCATTTTCTTTGTAAATGCATTCATGCACCATCTACACAGAACATTAGATTTGTCTATAAATAACACTTTTAATTTCTATAGCTTTATAGAATTTGCCAACTGTATGATAAGGCATGTTCCATTTTTACAACTTTTTACAATATTTCTGGGG